TATTTATTTATTCATCTGTAAATACTTGTTAACCCTCACAACCAAGCATGAACTTGTGAGGAAGCCAGAGAAACAAAACACAACATAAGGCTCCTCTCTGCAAGGAACTTAAAATACAATAAAAATATACAACATGAAATCTTATACCTCAATCCAGGCATTAAATAACACTGGAAAAGAACAGTATTGTAGAAGTTAGAAGGTTCTATCTATCAGTAAGTGCTGTGATGTTAAATATAAAGGGAGCCCTGTGTTTTGGAAGCAATTATTGTAATGGTTAGGAACACAGGTTTTATTTCTAATTTTTTATAGTGCAATATTATTGTCTGTATTCGTTATACTGTGCTTAGACATCTGTGGCCTGTTTACCCCTCGTTGCAAGTTTGTGCTCTTAAACATCATCACTTTGATCTCCTCTTCCCATACCCCATTCCCCTGGTAACCACAGTTTTACTCTCTGTGTTTTACACGTGAAGAGGCACATTTTCCAAGGTAACATGTCTTTCTCACCCTCCAAAACATCTTCACTTATAATCCCAAACATGCTGAAATAGCACAGTTGGTCTTCCATAACCAGTAATCTCACTGTACTCATTAATACACATCCCAGAAAAAGCTAAACTCTAAGAGATTAGGGAGGAGGCAAATATATAGAGGGTGCCAGAAAAAAATGTACACACATTTTTTGTTTTTAGATTTTATTGGGGAATTGGGGGAGAGGAACAGTGTTGGGGAACTGGGGAAGGGGAACAACCAAGTTGTCCTTCAGTCTTAGTTGTGGAGGGTGCAACTAGCTCAGCTCCAAGTCCAGTCGCCATCTGGCTTGCGGCAGCTCGCGGCCGCTCAGCTCAAGGTGCTGAGTTCAGCGTTTAGTTGCAGGTGGGCATAGCCCACCAGTTGAACAGACAACCTTGTTGTTAACAGCACATGCTCTCACCAGCTGAGCCACCCTGCCACCTGTTGGCAGCACAGTGGCAGCTCAGCTCGGGTGCAGCTCACTGGCTCATATGGGAATTGAACCGGTGACCCTGTTGCCCAGAGCTCGCACTCTTAAGCAAGCTCTTAACCAACTGAGCCACTCGGCTGGCCCTGTACACACATTTTAAGAAAGAAAAAAACGATTAAAGTTGTAATATTCAACATATTCTAATAAAAGATGAATACAAGTCATGTGTATACATATTTTTGGCACCCCACCCCCACCCCCGGTATTTCAGTGATTTCACTAGTCTTAAGGCTCGATTATCACTAAGATTATGTGGCTTTGACACTGGACTTTGACACGTGACTACCAAAAACACAACATCCTTAGTCAACTTGTAATAAAGCCTACATAAATAAGTTTGGGTTTTCAAGCAGCCTCCCATATAAACAAGGTGACAATTTGGAAACTTTTCAATAAGATAATAACACATCTCAGTATGTAATTTACTGAGTGTAAATTACAGCATGCTTAGAAGACCAGTAAAACCAGTTTTATATGGCACCAAATTCAACTGGACTGACTCAGGTGAGTAGGTAAGTTATTTAAATTTCCTTTAACAAAAGTCAGTTTCAGAGTAAATGACTAGGGAATTCTTGATACATGACTGATTAGTAAACTTTGTAGCTGTGATCCCGGGAAATAAGACTGACTGAAAATATAAATACTAACTCACGAATTAACTGGATTCATTCATTCATTTTAGACCATCATGCTAAGTGGGGCAAAATTGTTTTTCACAAAGTTCAAGTTTAACTCCTGCCTTCTTCCCAAAGTGAAAGGCAATCCCCTCCCTCTCTTGGCCACCTCAAATTAAGTATCCCCTTTGGACTCATATTTGGTTATTTCCCAGTTTCTTAGCTCTTGTGTGAGAAAGTACTTTCAACTATCCTTGGTGTGTATAGATTTTGTGCTTATCCTGTTTGTCTAACTCATTTATCAATTCCCTAAGGGTCATTCTCTGTTGCAGTGGTTTTGAATTGTTTCTTATGTCCTGATACTTACATCACCAAAGAAACTGAATTCTGGAAACAAACTCATGTTTACATGCATTCTGTTATTATAGTTCTCATTCATTGGATTATTTTAATGACCAAAAGAATTGTGGTAATATGGTGAGGAGTATATTTTACTGCAATGATAATGGTGACTTGACTTAACATTTATTTAGCACTTTTTACACGCCAAGCAATGTTTTGAGTGCCTTACAATATAACTCATTTAATCCCGTCGCCAATCCCATGCATTGGGTACTATTAGGGGTCTCATTTTTATAGATTAGGTATCTGAGGCACAGAGAGATTATAAACGTTGCCCAGAGTCACCCGACCAGAGCCAGGATCCACATGCAGGCAACCTGCCTCCTACACCCATATTCTTAGGGGCTATGCTTATGCTATAAAATGACCCACCGTGTAAAACCACATGTCTCAATAATTAAAAATATGATAATATTTTGGAGTATAAACTTTACCACTACAGATCAGACGTAAGATAAAGAACAATTTTCAAAAGTAATAGCAGCAAATAAAATGGGCAGAAAATGGTGCATTATGTTTGCAAGTGGACATGGGGACTAAGTAAGAATGAGTATTTGGGAATTGTAGTGAAAACCTTAGATCCTACTTAGGCTGCTCTTCCCTGCCCACTGATAACCTGCATTCCCCCAGTAGAGAATTACTGCTTTAGTAAACATTCTGCATGATTCCCTATTATGCCTTCTACAGACAGTTCTAAGCAGAGTGGGCCCTTGGTGAATATTGGTGTCTGATTGGAAAGTTCATTAGTTCATTCAACAACCATTTATTCAACATACCCCCAAAAGCTCATAGATCTGTAGGGGAAACAAACATATAAACAAATTAGAACAACACAGTAAAATACATTTAAAAAGAGGTATGTGCAAAATTTATAGTGATGATACCGAGAAGAAGAAAAGAAATGGTGGAGAAAACGATCATAGGGAGAAGTGTATCCAAGAGGCATCCCTAAAGAGAAAGTGTTTGAATTGGTTGCGTGAGCTCTCCAGGCAGACAAGGAATAGAGAAGGTCATTCCATGTAGAAGGCGTGGCGATGCCATGTGTGAAGATCATGATATGAAATTGGATAATGAGTTCAAGGAACTGTCCGCCTCATGGGATTATAGGGACGTGAGGTGCAGGAAAGGAAGGGGATTGATGATGACGCTGGAGGGATAGGCAAGGACTAGAAGAATAGGAAGGAATTTGGAGCTTTATAGGAGAGAATGGCAAGTCAATCAACAGTGAACGGGAGTGCCACAGTGAATTCAATGCTCAGACAAACAACTCCAATTTCTTCCAATTGACTATCACACATGAATGATGTATTAAAAATTATCAAGCATGAGATTTTTATATATCTAAAGTGGGCATATATTTATGTCTGCCCACCATCCAGTCTTGCTTCCTTTCATTTTTTGTAATAGCACCTGGATTTTCCTTTAGGGGCTAACTCTCCCCCAATGCCTACAATTTCCTACAACTATCAAACAAGTCATCCTGCTCTCCTTCACTGAAAGTTGAGTGGGGGATCTGAGCAAGGTTCCTCCAACTCCTCTAGGAATTTAAATTTTGTGAGGAGTGACTCAAGGATGTGAGAAGTTTATAGTTGATCCACTTGGAGTCAGATCCCTGAAGGAAACATATTTCCGGTTACTCAGGTCACCAAAATGCCCAGAATTACCTCAGCCTCCCCCTTTCTGAAGCTAGTGTTCCCAGATTGCTCCTGATTCCTCAAACTTTCCCATAACCTTCCAATAAATTTCATTTTTGGGTGAGGTACTACATTCCTTTTTGCTCTAACCAGGTTCGGTTTGCTTCCAAGCTAAAATAATCTATACATCACCTGTGGGGATGATCTGCCTACCTTTACCTATCGAAATTAGCTGGAAATTTGGTCCTAAGGTTGTCGTACTGTCCCAGTCTAGACACAGCAGTCAGCCATCTACTCCCTGGGTCTTGCTGCTGCACTAGGGTTCCGGCAACAAGTAGGCTCAGGTTTGCTTTGCTCTCAGAACTTGCAGACCTACCTCCTCCTCCTTCTGTTCTCCCCTCAGCCACAAACCTCGAACAGGGAGAGCCTCTAGTTGTGAATGTCCTCTTCTTTTAATATTTCTGGCCAAGATGCTTTTCCTATGTTTAACATAGATCACCCCCTTCACAAAACCACGATGTCCGCCTAAGGTCCTGGAGGAGTAATAAAAGGCTTGTAGGCCTCTTCTACTTTCCACCTTTCCCCAGAGCTACTTGGAGGCAATAAACACAAAATTTCCTATGTGCTTGAACTGAGGAGCAGGTTGGAGGAAGAAGAAAAATGAAAAGACACAAAAGAGGAAAAGAAAAAAAGCTAGCACTTCAAAATACTCCAAGAGTTTAATAATAGAAGTAATACCTTTCAGATATCTTCATTATTACTCTGTATTGTATTGTTGTTTGTATATTTTGTGTGATTTTTATATTTTACTCAAGGATAGAGAATGAACATATTTTTACTAGATGTACTGGGTTGTTTTCCTGTGTATATAGTGGCTCTTTTTAGTCACTATAATGCCAGCAATGATTATGCCTGTGTCCAAAGATGAACAGTCTTCACGCATTTCCCAAATCATCTGAAAGAGCTTTCAGAAGCCACACTTCCCATCAGAATGTTTGGGACGCAGCCTGTCCACCTTAAACACTGGGTCACTGGCAAGATGCTGTCCTTAGTCACCTTTTTCATGTGCACCTTCCTATATGCTTTTATGTACTATCAAATCCATGTGGTGCAATAAGTGACTGTGAGTGTTTTAACATGTTTCATAACTGGAATTTATAATGGTGGACTTTCCTAACTCTCCAACTCTGCCATATTCTGCAATAATTTTCACCAAGGTATATAGATATTCTCATAGAACCAGGGCTCAAGGAAGATAAGTGGTTCTTCCTCTAGTCCTTATCTCACTCTTTAATTATCCCCTATCCCCTCTCATTTCATTCTCACTCTTTTTTTTTGCCACAGAAACTTGGAGGTTTGCAGTATAGAGGAAATGGAGGCAAAGAAGAAGAGAAAAGGCAACAACAGGAGAAAAAGCCAGTAAAGGAAACTGGAGAGAAGAATGAAAATTTGAAAGAGAAGTAGGAACCAATACTCATAAAATATTTTGAAAGTATTCAAAAGCAAAAGATTAGAATTAGTCAAAAACAAACAAACGAACAAAATACCCCCCCAAAACCCACAAAACACTAAATAAGTGTTACGTATCCCTCCTTTCTTTATTTTACATCTGCACCCCCACCACCATCCATCCCTCACTCCTCAAGGCTTTCTGATACAGGACATTTTACAAAAGTCACAGTGGTTCTGAACATGTTCTTTTAATATACGTTTAGAGCTATTGCTCACCATTACTTGGGTTCCTCTAATTAAACAAAAACCTGCTTCTAACTGCTTTAGTAGTGAAGTTGTCCTTCTTGCAAGGGACCGCCTGAGAGGGTGACCCAAGAAAAGAGTAAGGGTTTCATCCTACCTCTTTCTACTTCCTCAGTATGAAGGTAGAGTGTACTCTGGACCTCATAAAGTCATTTTTTATTTTTATTCACACACACACATACATATATATATATATATATTTTTTTTTTATGATTTCTTTTTACCTCCATATTATTATTATTATTTCAAAACTTTATTTGGCTTCAGCTGTTTTCTTTTATGTGAATGTAGCTGATTATAATACAAATGACACTTTGCTCAAGAGTGATGATAAAGAAAGCTTAGTTCATCCCTTTTATTATAGGTTTGCCTTCTAAGGGAGAGGCCACACTGAGAAGAAGGTATCATTATGTAGGCTAG